CGACTGAGGCAGTCAAATATGTATCATATATGTTCAACCATACCCTACTTCGAAGTACAGTGTTTGCTGGTCCGAGAAAAAGTTGGAATAAAGGTAGGTGCGGCTGAACCGCGAGATGACATTAGTCCATGAAGCTACTAACTGTTTTCATTTGCCATATTGGTTAGGGTCCAAGCGATTATCGTGACCAGTCGTTGGCTATTTTAGATAACATGGCTCAGAATTGGTTCAAACAACACAGATACATTCCATTAGTGTCTACCCTTAGTTTTTGAATTTTAAAGTTATACTTATAAGTAAATGAATTCACCCCTTTCTTAACGAGCCATTTTGTTCATCTCTAGTTTTTTCTACTAATACCGGTACTACTTCTACTACTCTTAATAATTTCAACTAGCTGTTTTACAGTATATCAACTTGGGCTGATACACATTTATACGAGATTTTGCATTACTTATTACTGGCTTACTAACTAAACCCTTATCGACAGAAGCAATTATGTATTTAAAAATGAACAATCTAGAGATAAATCCCTAGTTGTATTAAGAATCTGTGATTTCTGGAAACTATTTTAAGAGTGAGTTAGTTGCTTACTTAACAGTGAAAGAATTACGTCACATCACATAGTAGCTGCTGGTTTGCAATGAACAAACTTACTGAAAAATCTTAAGTTTGTGAGCTTAATCTCGTTTAAGATCGTGTGTGTATACGTGTATGTGTGAAGGGGGATGTAATCTCAAACCTGGGCTGAACAAATACCTAGATAACAAAGCAAATACGCTCTACTGGTTAAATACGGTCATGGGTAAGACAAGCATCCTTTTCCATTGATCAATATTTGGTTAAGACGACCTATAGGATTGATGTCAAGTTGGCCTCCGTAGTAATGTCTGAAAGTGTTCAAGGACGTATACTTAGGTTTTCTGAAGCATTGACTATACGAAGACTGGAACCCTCTTTAAGTGTTCAAAAACAGTTTTTTTCTTGTCCTTAACCAACCTTGGCAATACTGATTCATTATACAGAGTGATTTCAATATTGTTCTTCACATTGTGTACTTTATCACTATCTTTGTCTCCTCTTACTCTACAATTTGACCCTTTATTTTTTTCATATTCAATGTCTTAACAAGTATACGCGTGATCACATCGTTCGAAACGTATCATATAGTTATGATAATCTTCGTTTTCTCATTGAAATATTTTTTGATGTTTAGAAAATTTCCTCAGTCACCTAATCGATTCTATGAAAATAATTTGTTTGACAACATAATTACTTCAAATAAGGAATAATTTGATCAAAAGTCGGTAAATAGAAAGAATAATTCTTGTTCTCTGACAGACTCATAGAATAAATGTTTCCTCTAGATAATTTGCCATTCAAGTTTCTTCATGTATAGAAAACTTTATGAACTATTCGTTGCTAGAATCATTCTAAAAATTATTACCAATGGATTAACTCCAGGTGTTTCTATTACCTTATTACCCCCCCCCACTAGTCTGTACTTCTATATGTAGGGAGAGAGAGAGAAAGAGTTGTCCTTGTCTAGTTTACTACCTTGATAGGCTAAGTGGCTTAGTTCAACCTTGAAATTGCAACATGTGCGTTTGACTTCGCTCCTGAGCAGCTTTGAGGGTAAATTTATTTAATCTCTAACTACTGACTTGAACCGTTCTCTAGAGAAGAGAAAGAACAGAAGAAATTATAACTGTAACTGATAGATTAGTCTAAAGTTAATGTTTCACGGAATAATCCAATCACATAGCTAAATATTATTAACTTACAGATTACGGAATAAGTGACAATATCCTAAAAATAGCTTCGATTGTTTGTTATCTCTTCTTCATTCTTCTCTTTAAAATAGCTACGTACACATATCTTAAAAAGAAAAAAAATTTCTTTTTATTACGACTTATTAATATAGTAATAAAAATATATAATGGAATCTTATTTTCTTATTTCTGGTGTACAATGTACAATAGTTAAATTTATGAATAACAGATGTACGTATGTCAATTGAATTATACTTAAATCTTAATGTAATAATAATCATTCTCTAATGAAATTCAATGTTTCAATTTAGAAATAAATTAATTCTTAATTTTAATCAAAATATTCTATTCTCATAATAAGCAAGTAAACTAAAAGCTTCCGGTTATATCTCGATGAGAATAATGAATGATAACTGTTGGGATCTATTTCTTGACTAATACTATCGTATAATTTTTAAGTAACTAAACTGACCATATTCATGTCCCTCTTATCATGAGCTTTATTTTGATCTATGAACTATTATTATACGATTTACCATTCTTGAGTTATGCCAAGTCTATTAGTTACTACCTCCTACATTCACAGCCACTTTTGGCTAAATCTTGTACAAATGTTGTTCCCTATTTTATGGTACGATGTGGTCCATCCGGTTGGTATATAAACCCAGTATGTTTGAAATGAATGATTCACATCGCAGAGGCTGAGATTGGTGTTTTGGACTAAACAGGAAGGGTAAGGCGGGAAGCAGGACCGATAAGGACTCTAGACTTCTCGTACTTGTTTTATGAGTTATTGGTCCGGTCGGTAAATCACTATTCTCTAATTGGTGATATTATTATGTTATACATTGATAGGGGCATAAACTCACAAGTTATAACACTTCTGTGTAGAGATATCGTGAATTTTAAGGGTATATGAAATTCTTTAACATTGATTTATATCATTGTTAATGAACATTCTAATATTATAGAAAATGGGGGGAGATGATTAAGCTTATGGTAAGATGAAGAGTTAAATAGGGTTGTTTTTTTTCAAAGAGGATTTAGTCATGATGATAATTGACCGGGCGATAACGGGAGAAAATACATAATTAGATACCAGTAAAACTGATATAGTTTCTTTCTAGGAGTATAACATTTTATCACCAATGTTACTAGTTGATTGTCTTTTTGTATGATATCGACTGCAAGACTTGAATATTTGTTTTTATGCTATGTAGAGAGTTACTAGTACATACTACTTATGCATTCCATACTAGGTATGAAACAGTTATAAAGCGGTTCTTCGTTTCCAACAGTTACCTATTAGACAATATTGGAGAGTAAAAAAAATGTTTGTAAAATGATGTATTAAATCTAGTGTGTTAGGTAAAAGAGATTGAGAAAATTATATGGTATGATAATAAATCAAGATAATGATATATGTACTATGATTAAAGATATTTGTTAAATTGACCTAGCTGTACTTTTGGTTAACAGATCTTTCGATAGGAACTTATGGTGAATGAAACCCACTCTGTTCTCTACAAGTGCATCTCTTCTTTCAGTGCTGCAGATATGTCTTCTTCACGATGCTAAAAAAGATGAACTGAAAGTTGTTATCATCACTTATACTACTAATCACATATGATACCAAAATACTATTTTTGTACTTAGATTCATAATATATAATGATTACACATTTTACATTTACATTGTGGTAAATTGTAAAATGAATGCTATTCAATAATAACACTCTGATATTAAATATCTACTACTAGTTTTCATCAGAAAAATTTATTTCCTTCTCCTTTAGATTTCAAGTGAATCAACTTACTTATAACCAGGAAACGAAGTAACAACAAAAATGACAAAATAAGTGCTATTTATCAGTCCAGAGTTTCGTAGAGCTTATAGAGTTACCATGAATTTTATACGATAAATAATCTTAGTTAGATAACTACTGAAAATATGGAAGTACTGGATGACTGTTTCATCCTGGTCTGGGACTCCTTATTTCGTTTCTCCACACTAGGTATTCAGACCCAAGGCCTTCAATCTTACGCGAGAGTCTATGGAAACTGAGCCCACTTCAAGATGAACTTCCTTGAATTCTAGTGATAACCTGTAACCAATGAAGACAGTTATCCACCATAGGAGGTGGAAAATGGTCACACAATAACTCAAATCGATCGAAGTTAGAGATATACATCATTTAATGCCGGCTTGGTAGTTTAGAGGTTAGACGTTTATGCTCAACACTAAAGGTCCTGGATTCGATCGCCGGGTGTGGGGTTGTCAATGCAATCACTAAACAGTTATCTGGTGCTACAAGGCTTCCAATGGAGGTCAAACTACGATTAGTTTGGGATTTAAAAACTACGAAACTTATTGTTTAGTTTTCAATTTAATTCAGAAATATTTATTTCTCATGTCTAATTTAAACAAATATAAGTCACCATAGTAATAATAATTGTAATGTACAAAAGTTGATCAAATACCTTTTTTTCAATCAAAACAAATGTTGACTGAGTAAACAGTGAGAGAAAACAACACCATTGAATTCAATTAAAATGGATTATTCTACGAACTCGGTTCCTAAAAATATGAAAATCTGATGAATAAATGAATCTTTTTTCACGTTTACATTAACCAACTCATATCATTTGAAGAATCAATAAAACAAAAATTTACTCTGAAAAAAGATAGTTAACTTGATTCTATTTGATCTAAGCATGTTAAAGTAAATTTACTTTGATTCTAATGTTGTATAGAAATTTTCAAGGACGACTTCTCAGGTTTATTGAAGCCTTGGTTATTCGTAACTTTAGACCCTCCTTATGTGTACAAAAATAATTTTTTGTAACCTTGAATTTACCCTTGTAATCCCTAAATTATTCTATGGCCTAGCATAACGCGACAATGTCTTATTCTTTCTGTAAGATGTCAAATGTTTCTCTCCCTTTTGTTACCTTTCTGTAAATAAATGTTTCGTGGGGGAGGATGGAAGTCACTGTCATATAATCCGATCTCTCTTTGAGCCATAACAAATTGGCGACGGGGTAAAAAAAAGAACAATCCAAAGTCAGCCTTCAGCATCCAGATTTGTCATCAGTGTCCTTCAGCAACATTGGTCATTAATCAAACAGTAATTTTCATTGCCGGTGCTGAATAATAAAAAAAAATGACTCTCCCTTCCGATCGAGTACAGCTGCTATTTGAAAGACAGTTGGAGTTTTTAGTCAAATTACGCACGCAGCTGTTAAATCACTCATGCTTTGGAGATGCAACGGAAGTGAATGGATTGATCTCTCAACTACACACAGAGCTGGAAAATGATTGTAGCCCCAATGAATCCCCGATAAACCGTATTTCAAACGGTACAACAGTCACTCAAGATTCGCCCAGTGGTCCAGTCCTCTCCATTCCAGAAACATGCCCGGTAATGGACTCAAACTCCATTATCCCCAAAACAGCATGTGCAGACGGTGACTTATCCAGCTCACAAACACACTCCCTGGTAAATGCTCATAGAATTGTCGCAATAACCACCCATGAAACAGAAAACAAATCGAGCAGTACACTGAATACAACTGCTTCAAATGGTTCTCATCAGTCTGCGACACATGTTTTTGACAAATCTTATTATCAAGATTCTCTTTTACCAGAAAATATGTCAGATGCATCAAATGATGATCAAAAACTTAATACAATTTTGATAGATGCTAATTACCTTGATGATCGATTATCTACAAATAAGATTCCAAATAAATTTGGTCACAATATTTCAGAAGAATTAAACTTCGAACACCTCATATCAAGTGTTGTCCAGCCTCAAGACTTAATCACTTTCAGTCAATTCTCTGTTCAGTGCGATAAATATGTCTTAAATAAATTCAAGTTAATTATAACGTGGGCATATGAGGATCCAACACTGTTTCGTGGGGGAGGATGGACCTGGAAAACTTAAAATCCGGATATCAACTCCGGATCTTCTAAAAAGGGGAGGAGTGTTGGGGACGATAGATCCCCAAAACTCAAATTTTGTAATTTACTTATCGATTAAATGTGCAGATAGGTCAATTGATGAACTATCGATTAAATGTTCAAATAGCAGTCAATTGTTGATTAATGTTCAAAAATCTTCTATGACAATATCGATTGTAAATAATTGTATAAATACGCTTGACTTGTATGCTTGATCTGATCTGCCTGCCTGACTTGTTATCTGCTGTTTGTCTGTAGAATACACTTTCTACACCTTACCCAGACTTCTTGATCGAGTTAGCAGAGTTGGGGACAACGGACCAGAATAGTCTATCGAGATTCTGAATCCTTGATCCGATCGATAAGTCACTGTAATATAATCGGCACTCACTTTGAGACATAACACTTTCTTACTTGAACTTTTATTTAATTTCAATGGTTAAGATCATGAGTCTATTGAAGCTAGACCACCATGGAAAACTCGGAAGCACTGGACGGTCGTTGTGTCTTATTGTGGGACTCCTCAGAAGTGCACATCCACGGTCCTACCTCGCGAGATTCGAACCAAGGATCTATCAGTCTCGTGCGCGAATGCTTAACCACTAGACTACTGAGCCGGCCAGGATCCAACGGTGTTAATGTCTAACTTCAATCAATCCACGAAATTGAGCAATACATCCACCATTATGATCAGTGATTTACTATCTCACAACAGACTCGGTTAAACTCTACTGATCACTGCTGAGGAGTCCCACAATAGGACGAAACGGTCATCCAGTGCTTCCAGTTTTTCCATAGTAGTCTAGCTTCAATTGACTCATGATCTCAACCATTGAAATTACTATCATATTCACAAAAACCTTTCTGATATTTTATTTAATTGACTTTGATTAATTTTTATATAAAATACCCTGTGAAGTATATATATAACCAGATTGTTCGAAATGTATAACGCAAATATATATCACATTTTTTTCAGATCAACTCCATCTTCTAATTGTTCTATCAAAGTTTTTATGTTCTAGCACGTTATTTCATAACAACATGGAAATATGTATCGTTTTTGTTTATTCCAGAAGAAGAAAAAAAAAACACAATCGAAAACATTCATTGAAAAATTTGTTAAACTTATTAGCTTGATATTTTATTGTTAATTGTTATTGTGTAAGTAGTTTCTTTAGATATTCAAGTGAATAATAAACTAACTTTGTTATTGACAACTAAAGAAACAAACAAAGAAAGAATAAAGTATTTATTAAATGATGTTGATATTATGCAATTACTTTTTACTTTTAATCGATTATTATGAAAAATTCATTTTTATTTTTTAATAAAAAAATTTGCGGCATATTCAAACGTTTAAGCTACTTATTTCTACTTAAGACTTATTTGAATTGACTAATTATGAATGGTGACTTTTATCTTCTTTTTTTAAAAAAAACATTAATACGCTCTAATAAAAGATTTATAACTTATTTTGATATTGAATATTTAAGAAAAAAAATGATCAAATGATCATTGTAGTTGTTGCCAGTGTCTATCTTTTGAGAAAAAGCAAACAAACAAACACTGGAATTCAATATATCTTATATGATATAATAAAAATATTGTTTGGAGTACTTGAATTCTATGATTGAAGATTACTGTGATGATAGAAGCTAACTATTGAAAGTAATATAAACCCTATACTGAAAACTATTCATTTATGAATAATTACAATTTAGATGAATGTTGAAAATGATCCGTTGCAATCTTGCAAGGTTATTGTTGATGATTGTATTAAAACTTATAGTGATGAAATTGTTATTATTATTATTATTATCATTATCATTATTACTATTATTAAATAAACTTAATGATTCATTTTACTATTTACTTCAACATTGTTTATTAGCAAAAATAGATAGGGGCTAGCAATGGAATCCAGGACACGTGTTTCATCTTATTTGGGACTCGTCAGCTGAATGTCCCTGAATCTCAAAGTTGATGTTCACTCTGTGACTAGAACTCAGTACCGTTCGCTTCAAACACTATCGCGTTATTCACTTAGCAACTGAGTCCTGGTAGCCACCTTCTTGTGAAATGCGGTGAAGTTATATTCACTTGGTGTTGTTTATTTGTATCTTCCCATTGTTATTTAGGACTGAAATTGATCAGTCTCTTGTTGGCATATGTGCATCCTGTGCGGACTGCCTCGATATTGCCTGAAGTCACATGCTTTCCAACTGAATATAACTTCACCCCATTTCACAAGCAGATGGCTATCAGGACTCAGTAGCTAAGCGGTTAACGCCACGGTGTTTGAAGCGAACGGTACTGAGTTCAAGTTCCGGAGTGAACATCAATTCTGGAATGCAGGTACATCCAGCCGACGAGTCTAAAGTAGGACGAAACGCGCGTCCTGGATTCCACTACTAGCTACTATCCATTTTCGCTTATAAAGCTTGTGACTTCAGGCAATATCGAGGCAGTCCGCACAGGATGCACATGTGCCAACAAGAGACTGATCAATTGCAGTCCTAAATAACAATGGGAAGATATAAATAAACAACACCGAGTGAATATTGTTTATTAGTCTTATGAAAGGCTGTACGTTTCCATTATGTCAGCTAAATTTTTGTGGTCCTAATGAATGTTCTGTTGAAATTTTTCTTACTTTTTTTCGTGATCATGATAACTCATTCGTCATAACACATTTTTCGAAATACCATGCATTAGTTATATTTTATTGCACTCTCCTCAGTCATAAACAAATATGTCAGTATTTTTAAGCTAAGTTTTGATAATGGCTGGAAGTGGAGTCTAGAGACTAGTCAGTTGGATGTATCTATACGTATGTGAATGTTCATACAGCTGCTTTGTGCGATGGGAATTAAATTTAGTTTTAATTTTCAAAGGTTTGAATCTTCTCTTTGTTGATTTTAAGTCTCCTTTGGAATATGCAGATCCTAAATCAATTGTCTTGATGGTGTCATTAAATCAAAAGCATTTTCAACAAGGTTTTGGTAGTGGATAGTAGTTGGTGTTTGAAGTTAAAGGGATTGTTGTGGAGTTTCGAAGCGAACATCAACTCTGAGATGTTAGTACTTTCAGCCAACGAGTCCACGTGACCTGGACTCCACTTCTAACCACTATCAAAACTTTGCTTGAATATATTTGTAATTTAAATTCATTGTCAAGGCAATTCGATCAGGATTCAAATATGTCAAGAAGAACTGATCGAATGTGAGCCTTAGCACAAAAAGGGGAGGTCCAGATTCTTGCAAGTAAAATTATGTATATTAAATTTATTAGAAATTTCAATGACCATGAGCTTATATGTAACTGAAACGAATATAATGTATTCTAGGAACTTTTCTGTTCTTGGTTTATCCTTAAACTTGAAAAGGGTAATATTTTTGTTAGTTGATTAAATCGCTAATTCTTTCACCTTTTGAAATCGATCATTACATTTAGTCATCCCTATTAGAGCATTTGTTGAGCATAATGGAGTTAATGAATTTGGAGAAGAATGTTATGAGTTGGTGATTTACAAAATGTCCGTCACCGATACAAACAGCATTTTTTGTTTCTAGAAAACTTGTAGCACTTATGGGATAGAGGAGATGGTTTTTCCACTTACATAGATAAAACATTGTTTAGTAGCTCACTTATATTACTCACAGCTATGAACTATGGCCTATGACATTAGAGGACTTGAACAGGTTCCCGGTATTCAGTCTTCGATGTTTTCTAAGTATCGCCTGTGAGTGATGGAACCACGATGTAAGCAATACTGAGTTCAGAAGTAAACTACTACATAGAAATAGCAAGTCGATTAATAAAACCATAAATCTTCATCAGCTGAGGCGGTTATTACACATTCTACAAATACTTAAATATCCCATACTGAAACAAGTGATAATGATTAGGATAGAAAGGGATTAGAAAAAAGCTAGGTACTGTTAAATGGGAGTGTGTCGCTGTTGAATTCATTCATCGACTGTTGATCTTGGCCGTGTAAAGTCTTTGCTCTCAAACCGATGTGCACGAAATGGTCGTAAGTTTTGGCTGAAGATGTGGGTATAAATCTCCGAAAGCCATTCAAGGTAACAACATTGGACTTATTTTCCGTCTTCTAAATCTTGAACTCAATATGACTTTATATTTCCATTTTTCTATTCTATTCGTTCCTTGTAAACTTTGTTTATGGTTGTCATTCGACTTAATCTGATATCGCTTTTTCCTGTTTTTCGCCATGTTGTTTTCTGAATGACCTTAATAGTATACAGTGTTACAGCTGGAAAAGATAAATGTTTGTCCCTGGTTCTACTTCGTTTCTGACTGATAAACCAACTAGTTCTGAGATTGCTAGATTGATCAAGCAATCAGAAAAAAATGTTTTTCTCCTTGTTACTGGTATCTTCCCTCACTTATGGGTTAATATTCAACCTGACCTTTTCTTATATTAAAACAAGCCTTCATCAATCAAACAAACTTTGTAATAAATTCTAGATACATTTAACAGATAACTACATAGATCTATTCTTTTTCTATCGTGAAAATTTTGGACTCTTAGTTGGTAGAACCCGTTCTCGACTGATGTGGTTGATGTTCAGCTAACCACGTTAACCAACTATACAATTCCTGTTAGTACAAGTCAATATTCAATGGAACATCAAAAAATACTAATTAGTTTTTGATAAAGTTTTCATTCAAGTAAGTTCATTCAGCATGTTGACAGACATTGGTATAAGTTAAAAATAAAACATGAAAAAATAATAGTACCTTTATTTTATCAATTTCTTGATCCTATTAATGGGCGATATTGTGCAAGCATTCAAATGTTAAAAGAAGAAAAAACTGCTATTAGTTTGGTTATTCTAGTATTAAACAGTAATAATAATAAATTAAAGGGTTATAGGTGCTCACCTTTTGGGACATACAGACTACAGCAAAACCATTACTGAATAATTCTTGATTCTCAACTGTTATTCCCATAGCTTATATGAGTTCATAACATAATCTTTAAACTTTTTCAAGGGATAATTATGTAGACTTTTTTAGTAAATTTGGGTGCTTGATTCTCATTTTAATGTATAATTAAATACTTTAGTATTTATAAGTGAAGATGGATAGTGGTTAGCAGTGTAATCCGGGACGCGCGTTTTGTCCTACTTGGCGCACTTCTGCTGAGTGTACCTGGATCTCAAAGTTGATGTTCAATTTGGGACTCGAACCCAGTGCCGTTCGCTCCAAACGCCATTGCGTTATTTACTGCTGGCCAATACCCATCTTTGCTTATAATGCTTGTGAATTAAGGCAATATCGAGGCAATACGCACAGTATACACATATGCCAATAAGAGACTGATCAATTGCAGTCCTATACATCAATGGGAAGATTCACGGAAATCATACCAAATTAACTTTAGTATTTAGCAATAATATCATTTAAAATTCACTTCAGTGTCATATACTTTAAGTTGAGCTATCAAATG